GGCGGCAGCAGCCCGAGGGCTCACGGTACAGCCACCCCGCCAGCCCACAATGCCGTGTCCCATGATTTGGGGACTGTCTGTTACTCAGCGTAACCCAGCCTCATGCTGACTGATACACGCTGAATCCAGCGTTTGGATTCAACCATTTTAGGGCTCACAGGTCCCCTCACCCTCACAGGACTCTCCAGACCCTTTAGTGGCGTCGTGGGCACTGGAACTTTTTGAGAGAGAGATGATGTGCTCAGTTGTCACTTAGGTGAGACCGTGTTCCCGCCCCCTCCCCCACGCCACCCATGAAGAGTGTGGCAGCTTCTTCTGTGCTCTTTAGAAACATGGTTTGGATCAGGAACAACCGAACCGACCGCAGGGACTTCGCCCCCCTTGGGGATGGATGGCTCTCGGCGGAGGAAGGGGACGCCACCACAAGACAGTTAGACAGAGGAATGGTGCATTTCCTGTCCGCGTCGGAGGAGATTTCTCTCCTCACCACCGAGCCTTCCTAGTCCCAGCCTGGTAAACACGTCCCCACATCGTAGATGATCGCAGAGCCCAGACGTGTGTCGGGCGAGCATCGCGTGGAGCCCCATTTTCTGTGAAGACCTCCCCCGCCATGCCTCCCCAGGGCCTCAAGCAGCCCCAGGTGGACCCTGTGTCTCTGTGGGGCTGTTCCCCTCACTGAGGGCGTCTTAGCGCAGTTGGGTTATCTCCTGCCCCCACCCCGGCAGATCCGCGCCCCACGCTTACACCTGGATACCTCCCGGGGCCCTGGGACCACTCAGGCCCCTTCCTGGGGCTCTCCTGAGACCGTGTACCGTGGCGTCCCCAGCACGGCGCCCATTTTCAGTGTGTGTGTGAGAGAGAGTGTGAGTGTGTGTGCAGCGTGCATTCCCTCCCCTGTGCTATGAGGTTCCGGAGAGTGTGTGCACGTCGCCCAAGGCCATCCTGCCCCACCGCACCCCGAGCCTCGGGGCAGGCTGCACACACCACATGTGTCCATCCTTGGTTTACAGGCACCCCAATGGCTGCTCATCTCAAGGGGTCCCCAATATCTCAAATCCAAGCGTGCCATGAACGTGCCCACACCAACAGCTCTGCCGAGGGAGACCCAGGGAGAGGTTGCCGGGCAGTCAGTGTGGCTGAGAGTCGGGAGAAAATGTGTTTGCGTTTCCTGAGTCCTTTTCTTTACTTTAGAAAAACGGTTGCCGGCCACCCCGAGTGTGTTGACAGAGGGAGCAGCTGGTAAAGTTCAGGGTCGTGTTTGGATTCCGCCCCAGCAAACTGACACTAAAGCTGTGCCAGGCAGGGGGGCTGCCAGCTGCCAGAGGCCCCGGAGCCAGCACAGGGGGCAGGGGGTCAAGGCTGCACACCATCCAGAGCACTGCCCGGAGCCATCTCAGGCCATCCCTCACACCCACAGAGAGCGTCCCCACCCCAACGTGACAGTGTGCGCCCCTGCTCATGGTGCTGGTGGCCTCAGGTCCAAGCCAGAGCAGGCCGGGCAGCGGCTTCATGGCCACCACCTTCGTACCCACCAAGTTCAGTCCCCACCAAGTTCAGTCCCCGCGTCCTTCCCAGACTCTGGTGAGAGCACCACGATCAGAACCCCGAAGACTCTAGACTGTGTGCGCTCAGAGCAGTTGGGAGGCGGCCGCAGGCTCCCAGCCTCAGGGTGCCTGCTCCACTCCTGCGAGGTCCAGGGGCGCTTGCCCGCCTGCAGCCTCCTGGGCTGTGTGCGGTCAGCGTGCCAGCCACCTTCGTGAGCAGGACGTGCTCGGACCCTCAGATCCTCCTCCTGGCTTGTACATCTGAGGTCAAGGGCAAAGGGTGACACAGGCTTTGTGTGTGTTTGTTATCCATCTAAAGAGAGAGAGCGCGGGTGAAGCATGGTTGCTGGGCCAGCGCTGTGGGGCCCGGAAGGTGACCCCTGGCTCCTGCCTGCATGTGGGTCATCTGTTCTCGGTGTGCCACCCGTCCCCACAGCTTCGGGACCAGCCGGCCACGTGCAGACCTCAGCTGAGGAGGGTCCTGTCTGCCCTCCCGAACCTTGCCAGGGCCCAAATCTCACGTTCTCCCTACATGTTTAGAACAGAGAGCTGTGAGAGGAGAAAGAACTTGTGGACGGGTGACCACAGAGCAGGGCTGCCCTTAAACCAGAGAACAATAAACAGCCCCGCTGCCCTGTGGGCAAAATGCAGCAAAATCGTTTGGACTGCCGCTCAGAAAAGAGCTTTCGCTTAAGTAACCTCCTTAGATCTAGACCTTTCGTCTGCCCACCATCCTGTATCTCCCAGCACACCTGCACCTTTGTTCTCTTGAACAAAGGACTACTAATTAGGGCTGGAACTGGGAGACATCCCTCCTGAGCTCAAGACCGGCTGACATGCCTTACACCGCAGTCCCAGGCACTGCTCCTCCGTCAGCACCTCCAGTTTTCAAAAAGTGCCATAAATATTAAATATGGGCTCAGCCTGTGGGACGGGCGGCCCCTCCCTGAGCCTGGCAGGCGGCAGATGCGCGGCTTCGCACAGGAAGGACGGTGCTGACCGGCGTCTGTGGCCGTGGACAGGGGTCTGACCGTGGGCGGAGTGGAGAAAAGTAACTCATTTATGTTCAAACTCCACACGGCAGGAAGCAGCCGGCAGGACGTTGAGGACCCAGTTACCTGGGGTCTCTGTGCTGCCCCATCCATTTCGAGGCTTCGAGGGGGCAGCTTTTGGGGGGCCTGGAACCAGCCCCACGTCGGAGGAGTGGCTCGAGCACCACCCGCTGGGCACCACACTGATAACACCCACTGACCATCCTCTGCCTCTTACCGTCATCGGCAACCCTGAACAGTGTCCATGACAAAGGGGGCAGACTGCCTCATGTCACCCCCCCCCCCCCCCCCCCCCCCCGCAGGAAGCCACTGAAGTGAAGAAAGCCCTGGGGAGAGGGATCAGCAAGGAAGATAAACCCGGGACGGCTCCTCAGAGGAGGTGCACGCAGAAGAGGGTGTCACAGGCGAGGGTAACTGTGTGTGGACACCTAGCGCATGGAGCATTTGGCCAACAGGGAGGAGACGAGCTGTCTGAGGGCCGGAGGTGCCAGTGGGCCTGCGGAGGCTGGATGGAGTGAGAACAGCCCACGTCCAGCCGGCTGTCCTCTCTGGAGGGCGTGGGCTTGTGGGCCAGGCGGCTCTGTGGTCAAGCTCTGCCTCCATCTTTGTGGCTGGGAGGTCTGAGGCCAGGGACGTTTCCCTCCCCTCTGAGGTGAGTGCCGGAACCTTCTGCTGGGCGGCTCAGACGCTGGTGGTGGTTCTGAAGGCCACACTGACACTGCCTCAGACGCCACCAAAGCTCTGTCTCTGCCTACTTTTATCAGTGCAGTGGCATCGTCGCTTAAACCTGAAGAAACGCAAACCCGCCCTGCCCGATCCTTCAGTGTTATTAGAAATTTACTTTCAGAGAACAAAGGGGCTTATTTATTTATACATTTTGTGCTAACCTCCCAGCAATCATAGAACTGTCATTTTTATCTTTGTCGGTGACAGCTGGGTGTCAGAAATGACTGAGCCACTCAGTTTGTTGCTGATTTTAATTTGTTTACCGTTGAGGTGAATGTACGCTAAAAGCAGTTTGGAATTCTCCTGTCACTGGAAAAAAGTGTGATTATTCCCTCATGGAGGGATATTTCCAGGGACCCACATCCCACTCATAACCTCGGTCACCCTCACCCACCTGAGGACCCCCGTGTGTGCAGCCCTGGGTCCCGCACACGTGCGCTGTAGGGCCAGACGGGGCGGAAACGGCTGGTTTCATCCCGTTTAAAAACATTTTTATATTAAACCCACAAGTGGGAGGTGCCGGTAACTGGGGAGATGTGTAAAGTCAAGTATTTGAGACGAGAGGGAACGCGCACATTATTTGTTATTTCAGGGCAAGCAACAATAACAGGTGAGCACAGGGGAGACTGTCTCATAAGTAACAGCGAAGAGCTTTTTTAGTTTCTAGGATAAATAGTAATTAAATCATGTAAGCTGTGACAGTGAAATTGCTTTCAAAAACCCATCCTCCCACCATAATTGCTAAGATACCCACATTTTTACAAATACCAGGTAACTTTATCTATCGTTTTTATCAGGAGAATGTGACACTGGCTGGTGCTGCCTCGTAATTTACTGCAACATTAGGTGGCACCTGCGGAAACCCACATAAGAGATGTGTGAATGCAGCCAGAGGGCTGGGCAGCTGCCTGGACGACTCTCCGCTGTGGGGTTCCTCGTGGCTGTGCTGCTGGAGCTGTCTGGAGGGGCTGGCAGCTCGGGGCCTGATTAATGTTTGGGAAGCAAAGCTATGCGCCTACTGGGCAGTGTGGGCAGACGAGCTGCCTACACTCCGTGTCCAGTTTGCCGAGGAAGCACTGTCCAAGGTCTCTGCCAGTAGCTGCTGTCCCCGACCACCCTGACGGAGCATGCGTGTGCAGTGTGGGGTTTGTGTCGCTGAGGGATGAAAGGGACCCAGGCACGCAGTGGTTTGGAGCTCTGCTCAGAACCCGTTGCCCTGCCAGGTCCCTGCACTGCCTCCTTGGGTGGGAAAACAGCTCCGTCGGGGGCTTCAAAGTCTGGTGGCAGAAGGTGTGCATGTGACCAGCGAGGGAAGGTCGCAAACGAGGGAATCGTTTTCAGGAGGGAAGTCCCCAGACCTGCGGCCACCGGACTCCAGTTGAGGTCATACAGTAACAAGGAAGCGACGCAGTGGCAGGGACACAGAACAGCTGTCTCTCAGATGTCACGGAAGTGCATGGTGGCTCTTTTTATTTCTTTTTTTCTGAGGCCGCTGTGAACTCCCCAGGGGGAGAAATAAAGCCTAAAGCCCAAGAGCTGGCGGTCAAAGCATCAGTTAGGTCTTTGTTTTCATGCTGCTCGTCTGTGGCCGGGGACCTGCTCCCTGAAATGCGCCCCGTGAGTACCGTCACTGCCTTTTGCCTGCAGGTCCTCACCCTTCTCCTCTCTTCTCTTGCAGTCAAGTTCAGCAGCTGTCTGGGGACCAAGGGGACGCAGTATGAGACCAACAGCATGGACTTCAAAGTCGGGGCAGACGGGACAGTCTTCGCCACCCGAGAACTGCAGATCCCCTCGGAGGAGGTGGCCTTCACTGTGACGGCGTGGGACCGCCAGACCGCCGAGCGATGGGATGCCATGGTGCGGCTGCTGGTGGCCCAGACCTCATCCGCACTCCCTGGACACAAGGTAAAGGGGCCGGCACGCAGCAGGCTTGGTGACTGTCCTTCGTCCCCGGGTCACTGTAGCAGAGCCTCTGCGCAGGTTCCCGATGACAGGCTGACACTTTTGCAGGCTGTGCAGGAGAGACCCTCTGCCCTGTCCACCGAGGCAGGGCCACCTCACCGCAGGTGCTCGGGGCCCCGCACTGTGGAAGGCACTGCTGTCACCATCTTGACGGCCTTAGCGATTCTTTAAACAAGGGCGCCTCACTTCCGTCTCACACTGGGCACCAGCTAATTCCCTGGCTTCTCCTGCCTGAGGCTACAGCCACCAGCTCCGGGGGCTCCCAAGGCCCGGAGGGCTGGGGAGTAAAACAAGGGTCCACTCTGGGAAAACAGGGCCTGTGTCTTGTTTTTAAACAAAGTGTAGGTGGTTTAGGTTGGAAAAGAGAAAGTGGGGGCGCGGGTGAATAGCCTCACCTTCGGTGATGAGCTGACCCCATGGGGAAGGACGTTTTGAGAGCCATGAGCCAGGCATGGAGACATGTAACAACGGCGTGCCCCAAATTGTGAGCCTCACCTTGTGGGTGACGAAAACCGTGACAAATGGCTGATTTTTCATCATTTCCTGAGTGATTATCACAAGCTACACCCTGGTGAGAAGATGTGAGCAAAGCAGGCCCTGAGGACAGCCCTGGGGACACTGTCCCCTGTGGGGGGGCCTTCCCTCCAGGTGGCATGGCAGAGGGCTGAAGGGCAGGGCCAGCTGTGCTAAGGCCACACCCTGACTGTGCACATAGTGTGCACCTTGTGAGCACAGAGTAGGGCTCCTTGAGCTTGTTGAGGGTCTCAGATCAAAGGCATGAACTGAAAATGTAACCTTTTATTAGGCATGTTAATGAAGAGATTCCTGTTGTAATTAATCCCCTGAGCCTCCATGGAAGGTGAGTGCAATTCGGCAGTCCCAGTAGAGCGCACCTCCAGCCCCAGGTTGGGCCGGACCTATTGGCAGCACAGGGGACACAGAATCCCAGTCAACACAGCCATGGGGTGACTGTGGGGCTACACACCTGAGAGCATGACAGGTGACCGTAACAGGCAGCAGCCAGCTTCTCTGCAGCCCACCAGACCCGTCCCGTGTTGTCGTCACATTAGCTTTGTTGCCGATGGTTCCGTTTCCTCTTACTTCAAACCCAAAGCTCCCTGTCCTGGCTTTCTAGGACTTCTCTTAGACCCTGTCTCGGTGATATCAACTCATCTCATCCTCACATCTCCAGAAATGGGCACTGTCACTGTCCGCACTTTATAGACGAGGAAGCTAAGCCGTGTAACCACAGCCCCTTTGCTCTATAGGAGAATCCATGTTCCGGAAAGGAGTGAAAAATGACTTTCTAGGTACAGCTGAGCCCAGCATCGTAAAGTGGCCCAGCTGCCCTGGGTTGTGGGTTTGAATCAGGGCTTCTCCAACTTACTGGCTGACGTTCTGGGATAAGGCAGAAAAATCAGTGATCTAAACATCCGTCTCAAGAAGTTATAAAAAGAACAGGAAATGAAACACAAAGTAGAAAGAAGGAGGTCGTAAAACCAAAAGGAGAAAATAATGAAATAGAAACTAATAGAAAGAATTAGCAGACGAAAGTTGGCTCTGTAAACTACTAAGCCAACGGGTCTGTGTAAGAACAAAGAAGTGGCGAATAATCCCCACCAGGAATGGAAAGAGGGTACCAGGAACGATCGCACAGATGCAGGGAGATCCTCTGAGGGTATTATGTACAATTCCTACCAACATGTTTGAAAATATACATGAAATGGATAACAGTCTAGAAATATACAGCTACCAAAACCCTAAGCAAAACATTAGCAACCTCAGATCCAGCCGTGTGTTCATAGGATAAATCGTGGCCATGTTGGTCTGTTCCAAGAATGCACGGTTGGTTTATCACGTGAAAGTTAATCCATGGAATTCAGTGTGCAGAATAAAGGGTGAAAACCAGACGACCGTCTGTCTAATGCTTGTTAAAATTTAACCTCCACTCAGGATGAAAATATTTAGCAAATTAGGAAAAGAAGGGACGATCCTTAACCTCACAGCGGGTGTCTGTGAAGAACCTCCAACGTGCTGTTGGAGTACTCAAAGCCTCCCTTGACATCAGAATTAGGAAAACGACACTCACATCACACGCCGTAGGTCCCAGCCAAAGTCAGGCAGAAAAAGAAATCAGAATAGATGGAACTAACATTATTTGTAGTTTATAGGATTGTGAATGTATCTGTAGATAAATAACGTACTGGATTTATCGAGTGAGGGTACAATGGATGTAAAAGCAATTGTACCTCTGTAGACCAGGAACGAATAGTTAGGGATTGAAATGTAAACCAGACACCAATCACAATGGCATTGAAAATGATCACATAACTAGGAACACATCTGACAAAATTGTTCAAGACCCTTCCAAATTATTGAGAACAATTAAAAAATCTTTTAGAAACGGAGGGAGGGGCCATGCTCATAACTTAGAAGGTTTAGTGTTGTGGTGTACAGTGATACTCATTCTACCCAAAGGTTTCTCCAAACGCAACACAATCCCAGCAAAAATCGCAGCATGCTCTTTGTTTGCTTGTATAGAGTAAGCCCCAGCAGAGTTTCTCAGCCTCTGCACTGTTGGCGTTTGGGGCCGTCCTGCACTATAGGATGTCTAACAGCACCTCTGGCCCTCACCCCTAGATGCCAGCAGCTTCCCACCACCCTCATTACCAAGGCTGTCTTCAATCATTGCCAAATGTGCACCAGGGGCAAAATTGCCCCCGTGGGGGAACCACTGAACTGCGATAATTAAAATGGTGCAGCTTGGGAGCAGAGATGGTCAGACGAACAAATGGAACAAAATAATAAGCCCAGAAAAAATATCTCATGTCTTAAAAAATCATCTTCATGAAGGTGTAACTTTTATACAACAAAATTCACCCACTTCACATACACAGCTTGACGAACCTTCTCACGTGCACGTGGCATAGACACTTGCCTTTTCTGCCAGAGTGGCATTCTGTGGCAGGTCAGCCGACTGCGGCTCGCAGGCCACATCCAACTGCCGCCTGCCTTTTGATGGCCTGCAAGCTAAGAATGGTTTCTACACTTTTAAATGGTTGTATAACACAGGTTGTTCCTATATTTACACCCCTGATTTCGCTCCTTGGCCTGCACTGCCTAAAATATTTAACTCTCTGACCTTATAACGAAACGTCTGCCAACTCTACTTAGAATAATGGAGAAAGGACTGTCATTCCAATAGGTGATGCTGAGCCAATGGGATACCCTTGAGTGACACGACCCCCACCCCACACCACGCCCGAAAGTCAGTTCCAGGTGGGCTGTGCGTCTAAGTGTACGAGACAAAACAAGATGGTTGAGAATGTAGGGGTGTGTTGGGGGGAAGCCTCTTACACGTGACGCAGGAAACACCAAGTGTATTGTACAGAAGAGGGTGATAGTTGGACTTTGTTAAAAATAAGAACTTCTACTCATCAGAGCTTATACTTAAGAAAGTGAGATGAGCCGGAGCATGGGGCTCAGTATTGCTGGCACTTAATGACTGAGGACGCACATCCAGAATGCACAGAGGTCTGCAGATCACCAACGTAAAGACAGATAAGCTGCCAAGAAACAGGCGAGAGATGTCATCAGGCCACCCACCAAAGAGGACAGCCTGGGTGTCGCGTGAAGACGTGGCAGCGTCAGCAGGGCCATGCAGACGACAGCTGAGAACCTACCAGAATGCCTAAACTTAGAAAGACTGGTAACACCGGATATTGGTGAGAGCGTGAGCAGTTAGACTTTTCCTGCCGACTTGGTGGGAGTGTAGGTGGTACAAGCCTTCAGACGGCGACTCGGCGTTTTTCCCTTCATGCTGAGTACTCATGCACCTGGTAAAAAGGAAAACCGTTCCTCTGCTCACACTCCACTGACACCGAAAGTGTGGCTTCTCCCGTTTTCCTGGATGCTACCTGGAGGTCCTACAGTTTAATTCCGTTCTGACACTGACTTCCCAGCAGCATCACAGACCGCACAGGTGAAGGGCTCAGTCCCACTGATCACCCCCACTTCAGACGCCAATTGCAAGTCGTGGGTCCCCAGGTCACCTGCAACGTCTGTCCAACTAGGACTACAAATCAGGGGTTCCCACGACCCCCTCCTCAGCTCGGTGATTTGCTGCGATGGTTCACAGAACTCAGCGAACCTTGCTCTCTGCCCTGCTTTTTTATAAAGGATGCGATAAGGATGAACACCCGGATGCAGAGGTGCGTAGGGTGAGCTGGAAGGGTCCCGAGTGTGGGAGCTTCTGACCCCGTGGAGTGGGGTGTGTGCCACCCTCCCTGCACACAGGGGCGTTCACCACCCCAGGGGCTCTCCAAACCCCGTGGTTGAGGGGTTTTTATGGAGGTTTCATCACGTAGGCCTGACAGTTATTAACTCAGCCTCCAGCCCCTCTACCCCCCCCCCCACAGAGTACGGGGAGTGCGTGGGGATGGGGCTGAAAGCGCCAAGCTTCTCGCCAGGCTTAGGCCTTTCTGGTGACCAGCCCTCATGCCGAAGCCACCAGGAGCCCACCAGGAACGGCCAAATTAGGACAAAAGATGCCCCTGTAAACCAGGAAATTCCAGGGGGTTAGGAGCTCGGTGTCAGGAGCAGGACGGACTCCACACGCGTGTTTTCTAGCATGTGTCACTAGCGTTAGGTACACTGCCCACTACAAGCGCACGCACACACGTGCCAGGCGCTCTGCATCTGAACGCTGATACGCCTGAAAACGGCCCACACGCTCGTCACCATCGTAGTGGGTGATTCACTGTGTAGGGTTTCGACCGTGGACTATTATACGGCAGTGAAAGCGGACAGACTCCGAGCAGGAGAAAGGACAAGAGGAACCCGCACTGACGTGCTGAGGAAAGACGGCAGAACCTGCGTGCTGTGCGATTGCCTTTGGGTAGGTCCCAGCAGTCATAGCCGGGATGGTGACCTGTGGGCTGTGTGGGCGTGAGGGACATGAGAGGGCTCACGGGGGCAGGGGTCCGTTCTGTGGTCATTCGTTTAGCTGCTCACTGATGGTTCAAGCACTTTTCTGCAGGCAGCTTCCAATTCACAATTTTAGCATATTTTTTTTAACGCACGCAGAGGGTGTCCTGGCTGGGATTGGGGAAGGTGGGGAGTTCAGATGGGCACTCAGTGAGCAAGAGTTTTTTTGGCAGAAGTTTCTAGAAACGTTTCCTCCTTCCGAGGAGCAGTTCACAGTGTTAAAAGTCCCAGGATGGGGTGGCTGATTAGCTCAGTTGGTTAGAGCTCAGGCTCATAACACCAAGGTTGCCGGTTCGATCCCCACATGGGCCACGGAGCTGTGCCCTCCACAACTAGATTGAAACAACTACTTGACTTGGAGCTGATGGGTCCTGGAAAAACACACTGTTCCCCAATTTAAAAAAAACAATGTTTAAAAAAAAAAAGTCCCAAGAAGCTCTGATGAAAGGAGCCTTGAAGCAATCCCTGGAGGACCGTGGCGTGGGGACCCCCTAATTTCCTGGCTCTGTGAGCTTCATTTCCCTGACGTCGAGGTTTCTTCCTCCCATCTGTTATTTCAGCAGCTCTCTGTGGAGTTGAACAGAACTGACAGCTTTACAGTTAGATGAACCATAAAAATTTGGCAACTTTTCTCCTTGCTTCCCTCTCCTCTCCTAGCAACTACTTAGAAGCGGGCTTTCTGTGCATCATACGAGCAGGGCTAGAATCTGGGAGAATTTTTTTTTTTGTGCAGTCTTGCAGGAAAGCTGATAGCAATTCAATTAGAAAATGCAAATGAGGTCACATATTTCCCACAGGAGTGCTGAATCGCCCCTCAGGAATATTCCGGCCTAAGAGTAAATACTGAAGATAAAGTTTCTCGCTCAGTTGTCATCTGACTGGCTGCTGTAGCACTTGGAAGTGGCAATGGGACCTGTGG